GCCCCGCGCCGACGCCGCTCTGCGGGCGCCGGCCCCGGCGCTCCTCCCGTTCCGTACCGTAAGCGGGCTGTACGCAGGGCTGTCTCTTCTGCTCTTGTGCCGGCGCTGCTTCCCTGTCCTTACGCCTCTCTAATTCTGCAGCGTGTTAGTTCTCTAATAAAGTACTCGCCTCGTGACTCTGTTACCTTCTGTTTTCCTTTGTTGCTGTTACTAGTTTTTCCAAGTCTGTTGTTTAGGGCATTTCTGGGCACAGTGGGTGGGTAAGTTCATACAAGTAATATCGTTGCACATTTAATACTTTGTTACAGTGCCAGGAGTTAAGGAGCTCGGCGTGTTTTCTTGGATGTAACACTGGGTTTCCGACCTAAGTAGCTGCAGTGAGCTGGTCATCGTTGCCTCAGTGTCACCTGCCAGATCAAAATTCTGGACTGTGCTTTTGTTAAGCACATCTTTAGTAAAGAGGCTTCTTAGCTTTAATTCTGTTATTTGTGGTATCTTTAAAAGTGTTTTCTAGATTAACATAATGGAAAGAACACTTTCCAAGAGAATTTGGACTGCTGTGTGCAGCTGTTTACAAATTTGTGTTTGAGCAGATTAAATGTTTCAGTGCAGTAAATGTTGCTTAAAAGAGAAATCAGATATGCAATTACACTTACATATTCCTAATTTGAATTTTTATGTAGTACTGAGATGCTGTCCATTTAGTACTTCAACATAAGATTTAAGAACTTGGAAGCTTCTGCTTCACTATCAAGAATGGATAAGCTGCGTGTATAAGAACATCAAGTATACCAGAAAGAAAAGCATGTGGACTCCTAGACCTACACCTTAAATTATGGTGGCTGGTGCATCAGCTAATCTGAATTGTCTTTATTCAGTAGTCATTCTTCAGAAATAGTTTTTCTTTTTGGAAATTAGATGGTGATTCTGTCACAGATTGTCTTTCTGGTTATTTTACAGTGGCTGCTTCTTCTAATTGCACAACAATAGACTTTTTGTCCCCTTTGTTCTCTCCTTTTCTCTTCCTTTCAGTTTAGCCTCCTCAAACAACTGATGAGACTTTCCTTCTATAAGTTTTTTCTTCCTTTTCCATCAGTTGGCCCTATCTCTGCAGTATAGTAAGTCTTCAAGTTGTTCTATATCAAAGCTTTTGGTTTTCACAAATGCTGTGATCTCCTGCTAATACCTGGAGGGCAGACAAGCTAAGCTGTGTTTGAAATGGAACCCATGGTAAAATTTGGTTTTAACCATTTCAGACAGGTTTTTTAGGTTGCGTGAAGCTTACAGGTCATTAGAAACTGTTTCTGTCCAGGCTGGCAACCCCCCACATCTCCTCCAGACATGCCAATTCCCAGTCTCCAAGTCAGGAGGACTTTACTCCTCTCCCCTCCGTCAATAAGCGCTTGGCCCTTCTCCGTCCCTCGCGGGAGCTGCTGGAATACTACCGCAAGAAGATCGACGACTTCGATGAGGAACATGAGGATTTGGTGAAAAGGCTGGAGAGGTACAAAGAAACCTACGATGAGCAGGTTAGGAAAGAGTTCTTGAATCATGATGGACTATGTATCCTTGCACAAACAAGATTTTTTCTTCAGTTGAAAACCCAGCAGAGGCAGTGTTAAGATCTACCAGTAATGTGGTAAAACTGAGCTAAGAAGAAATAAGTAGATTTCAGGGTCTGATTATAAAATTTAATGATCTGTCCTCTGTCAAAGCAAATAGAAATATGCCTGTAGGCTACTCTTAGATTTTAAATATTTTATATTTTGGTTATATCTTTGCAGTGGGTTGTTTCTGTTTTGTTTTGTCTTTTTTTTTTTTTATTAAAGCATTTAGTTTACTGCGAGTTTAGATGTTCAGTTCCCATGTTGTGCAGCTCCTTTCCCTTGTTTCTCTTAGTGAAGAATGAGTACTCTTTTGTGTAATGGGCTTTGAGATAAGGATATAGTTTGTATTTACTATTTATGTATTTACTGCAATGTGATTCATAAGCTTGGCCATGGGCTATAAAGCAGTATACTGCACAGCAAATCAATGTGAGTTTAAAAGAAATTCCCAAACCTAAAAATCTTTGCCTTCTAAGAGGAAGAGATCTTACAGAACTTCTTTTAAGATATGCAGTGCTCTGGTAGGTCTTACAGTAGACATCTGTCTAGCAGTCATCTTTGTAATTGTGAATGGCCCTCTGAAATAGAATGGTCACTTCAGAGGTGATTGTGGTGCCTTCACAAGTACTGGCTGTGCTCAAAGCAGCCTGAAAGCCCTTGGGAAATACATGGGCTGTAAGTAATTCCACATTGGGGAAAAAGAGGGGCATGTTCTAGAATAGTGCCTTTTTTCCTGCACGAATGGTTTTCTGAAAGGTTTGTAAGTTTTTACACCAGATAGAAAATTATTAACGAAATTGGGTAACTAGCCATATTTCTCGCTACTAAACCATACAGATATTTTAATGTTTATTCTTCAGTAATGTAATAGGAAGTGCTATGACAGAGGTTTTGCTAGGTTTTTGTTGATGTCAAACTCCCCATACCTGTGCCACTCTAACAGCCAGTGAAGTAGTGCAGCCATTGGAAACTGGAGACCCTAGCTGAGGCCTTATTTGATTGTTGTATAGTGACATTGACTCTCAGGACTCTAAATTCCCCATGAAAAAAGTTTTAATTTTTTTTTTTCCAATGCTGCCCTCATCTGGTAAAATTTTGTAAGTGAATAAAATTATTCACTTGCACTGGCAGTTGTTCTGTTCCAGTTTCAGGCTCAGGGCAGAAGCAGTTCAAAGCCTGTAAGTGTTGCCCAATGCTCTGCAACATTTGAAGTGCCTCATTCTCTCTACCTAGCACAAACTGCAATGGGAAGTACGTCAGCGAGAGGAGGAGGTCGTGGAGTTGCAAAAGGCTTTGAGTGATATGCAAGTCTGTCTCTTCCAGGAGAAGGAACGTGTCCTTCGCCTCTACTCGGAGAACGACCGGCTGAAAATCAGGTGTGCTCTCCTCAGTGCTGGGCTGGGGCACTGGCAGCAGCAGCTGCATGCATTGCATTCCAGTTCTCATCCAGACTGGAGTTGTCAGGGAGGCAATTATGCCACACTTCCCAGAGGGGGCTCCTATGAAATCATACCAGTCTTGGAGGTGGAATTCAATCTGAGTTGCTAAATGTTTCCTATTATTCTTCCTATTTCAGTATGAGAAGGAAGAACAGAAGATGAATATAGATTCAGATTTTAATTGTGAGTTGTCAGCTTGAATGTGGAGGTTTTAATTCAAGCAGACTGTTATGGGCTGACCTTGACTAGACACCAGATGCCTACCAAGCTTCACTACTCTCCTTAGCTGGACAAGGGGAGGAAAAACAATGAAAGGCTCATGGGTCAAGATAAGGACAGGGAGATCACTCACCAGTTAGTGTCACAAGCTAAATGGGCTTGATTACCAATCAAGTCGGAATATGGATAATGAGATATATAACCAAATCTTAAAACACCTTCCCTGCCACCTCTCCCTTTTTCATAGCCTCAATTTTTCTGCCACATTTTCTGTTTCCCCCTGAGAGGTGCAGGGTGATGGGGAATGGGGGTTGTGGTCGGCTCATCACACATTGTGTGATGCTGCTCTTCTCACTCTCTTCCCCTGCTCCAGTGTGGGGTCCCTCCCATGTGAGACAGTCCTCCGCAAGCTTCTCCAGTGTGTGTCTTTCCCATGGGCTGCAGTTCCTCAGCAACTGCTCCAACATGAGTCCATTCCATGGGCTGTAGTCCTTCAAGAACAGACTTGCAATAGTGTGAGGGGGTCACAAGCCCTACCAGCAAACCTGCTCCAGAGTGGGCTCCTCCCTCCATGGGTCCACAGGTCCTGCCACAAGCGTGCTGCAGTGTGGGCTTCACATGGGGTCAAAGCCTCCTTTGGGCATCCACCTGCTCTGACACGGGGCCCTTCATGGGCTGCAGGTGGATTTCTGCTCCACTGTTAACCTCCATGTGCTGCAGGAGGGCAGTCTGCCTCACCATGGGCTACAGGGGAATTTCTGCTCTGATGCCTTGAGCACCTCCTTATTCACTGACCTCAGTGCCTGACAGGGCTGTTTCTTTTGTGCATTCTCACTCCTCTCTCTGGCTGTTGTTCCCCAGCAGCTTCCCCCCTCTAACTTCTTAAATACATTTATCACTTAGGTGCTGTCACTGGCCAAGGTCGAGTCTGTCTTGGAGCTGGCTGGCATTGACTCTACTGGCCATAGGGGAAGCTTCTGACATCTTCTCACAGGAGCCACCTCTGCTACCAAAACCTTGCTACACAGACCCCACACATAGACCTTGCACCTGCCTGGTGAAACAACTTCTCTCAGCCCTAAAAAACACTGAAGCTCAAACAGACCAAAGCAAATAGTTCCCACTCTATGAGATGCTGTTGACAGCTGCTCCTTTTTAATGCTGTTTAGCTGGTGAACTGGGATATAACCAGACTAGCTGCCAGTAGCAAAGGAGTTCCCAACCTTCTTCAGAACATTTGTGGGTAATAATATCAAGCTTTCTTCTAATCTTTTAAGAACTTAAAGTATGTGTGTGCACTTTGGCTCTTCTCAAGGGTATGACAAAAGTCTGATGCAGACCTTAGCTTGCTTTAAAAGAAATGGGCACTTGCAGTCTGTTGAATGAAGTGTCTGAAAGGATTTTAGGTGGTTTGTAACTGGAATGTAAATTCTTTTCCACTATGTGCTAGTGCTGTATCAGCCTATGTAGTGGTGTCCTATCTGAAAAGAAGAATGCTCCCTGATGCCAGCAGAATTGGTGATTTCCTATTATGTTAGCAACACCTGTGAAGTCTTTGGGAGTTAGTTTTTAATGCAGTATTCTCAACTGCAACTGTTTTGAAAACTTGTAAGCATTAATGAGTGAACTAGAAGGATAATATGCCACAATGTACTTAGAAATAACAATGTGCTGATGACTTTCTTTGAATTCCAGGGAATTGGAGGATAGGAAAAAAATTCAGCATCTCCTGGCTTTAGTGGGAACAGACCAAGGAGAAGTCACCTATTTTCACAAGGAGCCTCCACATAAGGCAAGTTCCATTTTTTTCTGTAGAATGCTTCTTTTGAAGATGAAGATTTGTACTCCAGAGGCTGACCACAGGTGAGATCTGTCATGCAAGTCAGAAGCTGCTAAATGAGCCCAAAGCAGGAGGGGATCTGTAGCTCTGTAGCAACATCAGGTTTTAGTATAGCTGATAGCAGATAAGTAGGAGCAGGCACACTGGAAGGTAGGTTCTCTTAGCATCAGTCCCCTTCTACCTTCAAAATATTCCTCCATATCAGCCTCCTAATTGTCAGATATGAGTCTGAAGCTATCTGGCAAATGGTCATCGAACAGTTGGAGAAAACACCCCAAAGAGGAAAAGGACAAAAAGGAAGTGCAGAAAATGACCAGGTGTGATGCTTGAAGATCAGCCATCTCGGAGTGCCTGTCCCCTAGCCCCTCAGTAGAGAACAGAGCAGTGCTGAGGTTGCTGCAGCAGCTTCCTGGGCAGGAGGCTGCAGAAAAGCCATCCTCTCTAGGCAGTATTGTATTTCAGAAACAATGTCCAATGGATTAAATGGTGGTGCATATGAAGTGCAGTATAGTTGAACCTACTTAAGATGAAGTCAGGAATCATGAATAATGTGGACATACAGAGGCTATGATGGAATATAACATTTGTCTTGGAATAAAGTGTAAAAAAAGGCTGAAATGCTGCATTTTGAGATTGTTCTGAACTGCTCAAGGAGTTAAAAAAATCTCACAAGCTGGAAAATTCACTGATACAGGGTAGCTTTAAAATTAAGCTTGTTGTGTAGCATTGACCTCAAGATAAGTATTGGGGTTTATGACCTGCTCCCTCATGGCCTCCTGGTTTTTTTAAGTGGGTTTCAGTTTGACAGGTGAGTTGTTTCACTGGTCTTATGGGTTAGCTTTTTATTCCAAAAGTGTTCAGTAGCTTGAGTGAATGTACTGATAAATCAAGCTTCATGTTTCTCTGTCTTACTCAGGCAAGAAGGAGTATGAAAGAAGGAAATAACATAGTCTTCATCTTCACCTTCCCCTTTTCCTCTCTGTCCACAAAATGTTCCTTTTCCTGCTGAGGGTGCCG